AAAAAAACGAGCTTTAAAGCACATGATAATCGTCTGTTCGCCTTCAGTGGATTATCAATGCGACTGGCCACAAACGCAATGATCAATGTGTGGTCTGTTCCCAAATTAACACATTAAAACTAGAAACTGAAAGTATACAACCTCACAATGGGTTATCGGGTAACCGTTTTGATGGTATAACAAGAAACGTTGCATGCTGAACGAAAAGCGAACCCTCAGACACCATCAATCAAGCCAAAGGCCGAAAGAAGTCGGCCTGAATGAGGAGCGATTTCACACTTTTCTGTTAATCTGATGTATTGATAATAATTTCGAATTATTAAATGTTTTCTTCGCCCAGTGCGAGTTAAGACGGGACTTTTTCAGGTGGCTGCTAGGGCTTCTTGATGGGACTTTGCCGTCACAAAGGCTCTTGTGAAGCTCCAATTATTACCATAATTAGATCATTATGTGCGTAATTGATGCCAGTTTTTTAAACCGTCACCTGCGGTGACTTCTCAAAATTTACGAAAGAAAACCATCCAGTCCCTACGTTGAACTAAAGTCCTTTCTGGCAGTTCTCCTATTGATTTATTCAGTCTATTCAACCCAGCCTAAATATGTAATTAAAAGTTGCTGAACTTCGGCGTAAAGTTGCGTGTCGATAATTCCGGCCTTTGCGCCCCCGAAATTGATTTTGCCAAACGCTAAGCAGACTGTCCGATCAAGAGCCGGGCGCTAAACTCTGGAAAGGTTCCACTATTGTGACCAATTAATAGAGCAGTTTTGCATGAAAGAACCAGGAAAAATCGACGTGTGAACCTTCCGTTGCGGCACAAAGGCCCGACGAGTGCAGCGACTTCGGAACGCTGAGGCGTTATAAATTGCTATCTGGTCAGCTTTCATGTTCCGCACCTCCGAAAGAAGAATCGGGGACCGCACACGGCGGCTCTTTTTTAATTTGTGCCTTGAATGTGGCCTATTATATTATTAAAATGTGATTTCTCAATAAAGCGGTGCCGTTACAATGTCGCTTTCTTCGTCCATCAGGTTTCTATGAGCGGAAAAGGAGCTAACAAGATTGAGGCACCAGTGACCTTTTCACATTCATAGGACAGTTTCGGTCATAAGAACTGTCTCCAAAATCTATCAGAATCATCATTACCTGGTCTATGGTTTGGAAGGAATGGAAGACCGTGGAAGCGATAAAGAGAACTCTTTAAATGTATCTCTGCTTCTATTCGCGCTAACTTTTTTGCCACAGTGTATATCGAAGTTGCGCTTCATTTTGCTAGTAGCCTTTTTAATATGGAAGAGAAAAAACTCCTTAGTCGAAATATGTCAGAGCAACTGTTGAGATATCGGCAGTTAAAACCTGGGTGAATCTTGGGAGAACTTTTTAAAGGCACGTTTGTCTTCAAATCACTCCAACTCTGTTGCCACCATGTATATGGAAGTTGTGTGTGCTTTTTCAAGAGCCCTTTCAATATGGACTAAAAAGGCATTTTAGTCCAATTTTGTCTGAGCAACTGTTTTTGAGACATCGGCAGTTAAAACCTGGGTGAATCTTGGGAGAACTTTTTAAAGGCACGTTTACCTTCAAATCATTCCAACTCTTTTGCCACCATGTATATGGAAGTTGCGAGTAATTTTTTAGGAGCCTTTTGAATATGGACTAAA